AGCTGGCCAGACTAGTATGGCTATTTTTCCCATTTAATTAACTCTCATAAACAATATATAGCATATGAATTATATGAGCCATGCAGAAGAAAGAGTGTTATATAGAAGCCAACAAACTCCGGATAACATAATCTTACAAACTCAAGTCAAGACCGAAAATTCTGGTGAGATTTTGACTTTATCCCAAAGTATTTATCATATAGATATAAATAATTTGGTTTGACATGCAATGACTTTGACTTTGCCTTAATTTGGAATAAAGTCGAAATGTCACCAGACTTTCGTGTCTCTATACTATAATAGTGCGTCACTGTGTTTTATTGGAATATATAAAATCTTAAGTTTGCAAGATGATGTTTTTCGTTTGTGACGTCTATAATGTTCTGTGAGGAAATATAATGATATTATGATGTATAAGATTAAAGTTGTTAAAATTTAATGAATCGGTATAATACGTATGCCATGCACGTGAACTAAAAAACAATGTTCGTTTGCCGAAAAATTATATGCATGCAATTGTTTAGACCCCTATTTTGTTATTATCACACGGATTTCACCACAATCCCCCGCAAAATGCTAATTACATCGCGATTTACGGTTATTTTAACCTAATTTTTAACAGAGTTTGGAAAGTTTCTTGTTTCTTTTGTGTGATGCAACCTGAACTAAGACTGAAATGACAATATTACAATAACTGAGTAGTTTCCCACAATTTGATTGTGAAAGCCATTTCAAACGTGCTTACGAGGGTGTGCTTATACAATCCATTTCAAAGTATATTGGACTGTTTAAGCGATATCTCTTGCGGCGACTAATTGCCAAAAATGTCACAGATGCATATAATTATATGTTAAATTTTATCGTATGCTATCACGTGTACCGAAGGATTAAAACAATTTGGTTAGTTTGAAAAAGTCGCAAAAATGTTATGCGGTGGTTTCATTAACCATTTTTGTGAAGTGAAATAAATAAATAAATGTATGGAACAATGTCAAATGCTTGGACACTTTTAAGTATACTTCCTTCAAGTATATTTAGGTAGAAGTATTTTCCCTTGGGTAAAAATTTAACTGACTTCTTAAACAGCGTTTTTTCTAGCGCAACGGCTACAAACAAAACAGCGAAAACCTCACTCAAGTTTTGTCAGAATGAAAAAAAATGTTCTCGAATGGCCTTTTAGAATTTCAGCTGCCCTGGATTCAAATACTCAGTTTCAGGGACGTTTTTTAATCAGGGATATAAAATATATAAAGTTATATTCAGCTTTTGTATCATTTTGAGCAGAAAAGTTAGAAGCCATTGTTCAGGCATAGGTTTTTCGCGTGTTAAATATTAAAAACCACGGTCTTTTATAGCATACTTTTTATCCATGTAGCTATAGCCTCAATTGCCCAAAATTATACCAGGTCAAATTGTACAAAAGTTGTAAACAAAAATTAATATGACGATTTATGCATAAAAAATATCACGGTGTTATCACTTTCACACCGTCAGTTATCTAATATAATTTAAATGCGTTTTTACCAAGTTTTACATTGCGACACAGAATAATTTCAAGTTTAAAGTACGTACCAGATATTATTCAGCAAATTTAGACTCAGGATGTTTGACGTCAGCCACGACACACTCGAGACGTGCTCAACCCCGCGATTGCATGATATTATGTCGTATGGTGTAATTGTAGACAATTACCATCGTGCATAATTATGGCATGAAAAAATTCGGATCAATCAATTTCGGTCAGAATAAATTAGCGCAAGTAGATGTAGGGCAGGAAATAGTTGCTACAGGTTTACATGCAGCTAGGCTTTCTTTACTGAATATAGTAACCTCATGTTTGTGCTATGCGTTCCCTGTCATCTGTTCCCTGCCATGCAGTTTGAATATGGTTGCCAATATTAATCAAGTGCGTTGTTTCTCTTTTGACAAAGGATCCTTTGTGTATGCAACACACTTGATCTCTTAAACTAAGTCTTTGTATTTAAGAGATCATACCGGATGTTTGCATGGGTCTGGAAAATCAAGATATTTCTTTACATTCTTGGTTTTACATAAACCCATAGTTATTTAGTTTGTCCGATTTCACTAAATATATATAGAGCATTTTGATTTTTGTTTCCTGGTTGCATCCATGCAATTAATGATGTGAATATTTAGAACTGTTTGGAACCGCTCACCTCGGATTATATTGCTGATGACACATAATAATTATAAATCCAATCCTATCAATCTTGTTTAGCAAAGTCTAAAAAAAACACTGAGGGAAAATTTTTAAAAGACGAGTTGATTTTTCATTTGATGTCCTCAATGTCAACCCGATAATGATACGTAAGTATAATATGGGTGGCATCTAAGATTTGCGCCATCAGCCCAATATTTTTCTTTGTGGTATTTTAATATTTTTTAATTATTGCGGTATTACATTGCATTACACAATATTGAAATAATTTTATTTAAAAGCTGTTGATTTTGTTTAAAAAGTGTTGTAATCGAAAAAGAATTTCTTCTAAGAATTACTTCAACTTCCCGATGTTAATCCCCGCATGAATATGATACCCTTAGTCGGCATACTAAAAATGATATCTTGTCTGGCGTCAGCAAGTATCACACGTCATGCTTAATTGATATTGTGATAAAATTGATATCATCTGATACAGTCGTATCCTTATAAAAGTACTAAAATTGAATGTAACCGAGATTTTGTCACATAAATTCTTGCATAATTCGTTGAAAAGGTAAATGATAGCAGGTGTATAATTTTTTAGTAATCATGCATTTCAAAATAGTTTATGTAACTATTTAATACTTATAATGTACAATGAATAAGTTTTACAGACTGTACTTGGTATATTTGTTATAAAAGATATCATTTCCTGGTACGGTTGAAGCTCATGCAATTCAATGACATTATCATCTATGAAATGGTCTCGCAGGAAAATTATTCTGCATCTAAAGTTATTCTGAATCTAAAGCATCTAGTTAAAAGTTTAACAGTTTCGGATATTATGTGACATGAGATGATGAACGATATCTGTAGATTTTCATAAAAAATAGCACTACTTAGTGTTAGGCGACTTTTTGAGTCATTTGATCTGTAGGTGCCATCATCAGGAATACATTTGGCCATTTTGGGCGACATTTGTGTGCTGTGTGCCACCCCCGCTAAACTGAGTTGTAGCTCTCGTTTAAAGTGTCTCAAACTTCAATGACCTGCACATATTTGGCAAAGTGTACCAAGTTCGTCTGAAGTAAATAATATCCGTCCATTTTTTTGGCAAAAGAATTGTCTTACATCTCAGCGTTTTTCCTTAAAGACTTGCTTGTAGTATAATTGCTAACTCCTGCCTAAAGTGTCCTGAAAGGAAGGGTGCGACATGCCCTGCGTATAGGTTCTGAAACTAAATATTGAGTGTTCTGGAAGTTACATAATTGCAGTAATAATAGACATAGGCACCAGTTACACGATACCGGATTAGTAGCGTACCGGATTACTTTCCATATCAGATAGGCGTTGCATTACGAGCTAGGATGTAGCAATCCGGTAAGTTCCAAGAAATTAAATCCCTCTGGAGATGATATGAAAAGTGATCCGGATATTTCTGTATAATTCCTCTAATCCGGTATATAATATGTTTTGAAGGAAAAATATAAATGGTCATCAAACGCTTGCAAAGGTTACCGATTCCAAAAGTTCTATTGCACTATCCTGTCCACGAAAATATTTGTTTTGGACTTTTTGCTACCCTGTTAAACTTAGCAAGACGCGCGGTTTCATCTTAACTGCATTCATCTCGTTTGCTTTTAAATAACTGTATGTATATTTCTGTCGTTTGCCGCGCGATTGAAATGAGCATGCGTCTTAAATCTTCCTGCTGCTTGCTTAATAATTAAAGTGTTTCCATTTTGGCCATGCAAACGCAAATGAATTTTATCGAACAAACACGTACGCTTTGTTCGAATCGCGTCGGGTGCGCTGGGCGTATACGTTCGCTTTCCCCACGTGGACCACCCTTAGGGCTGATTTCCACTGTGGAAAGCAGCTATATAGTATGTTGTCTTTAACTTAAAAACTAAGTCAATAAATCGAAAGAACTTAGTTTTCCGTATATTTTAGTATGCATTTGTTCACCTAAATGTTAAACAATATAGATATAACATCATTTAGAATTTTCCGTGGGTGTAATGCCTAAAAAACGCATAAATGGAAAGCAGCCCTTAGGAAACACACGTAACGGATCCGGATCTACGTGTGCAGAAATACTTCCTCCTTCCGCCACACTCATGCGCAGCACGTATATGACAACAGCGTGGGGGTTTCCCGCGTGAGATAATGCTTCGGCTAAACGCTAAAAAATGTCTGAATGCGTTGGAGTCATTTTCCTGGCATGAGTACTTTATATTGGTGACTTGATAGTCCAACACAATGAGGCTTGTTAGTTAAATGTTGATCTTGTTGATCTTAACATCCCATCTTGAGTGATCAGATAGTAGAACATTGCATTGTTAACTTTGCATGCGGCGTACGTTTTTATTGATTAGAAATACATGCACCTTCTTAATTTTTTCCCAGCTATCCAGGGTCGACTGCACGTTCAGTGACATTAGGGCTGCTTTCCACTGTAACGTTTTTTGCACGTACGTACATGCACGTATATAAAAGCTTAAAACCTTCTAAGTTGTTGTATAATTAATTTTATGCCAGAAGAACACACACCAAATCATCAACACCAACCCTATGCACCTGTTCAATTGCTGATTCCATAAGTGTCAATTAATTTTATTTTAAACTTCTACGTGCGTATACATTTATAGGTATATACATATGCAAAAAACGCGACAGTAGAAAACAGCCCTTGCCCGGGTGTGATTTCCATGCATCAGTTGACTCTGCATGGGACGTGCAAAAAATACGACAGGGAAATTTTAACCCTTCCCAACCGACTTTGATCGCATGCCTAAATCAGTGTTAGCAACATATTAAACATTTCTTTAATTTTTAGATTACGGAACTGATCTATGTGCACTCGAAAGTCATGATTGTGGATGATCGTTACACTATAATAGGATCAGGTAAGTGAAGTGTACGCTGGTATAAATAACGAGAACTTCGGCATTTTGTCATGAAGTTTCATATCATATTTCATACATTTTTTTAAAATCTTCTCCTGTCTCATTCCAGCAAATATAAACGACCGAAGCTTACTAGGAAAAAGAGATTCTGAAATTGCAATATTAGCTGAAGACTGCGAGTTTGTAAGTACTAGCATGTACTTTTGATATTGGAATCCGTGGTTTGCTAATAAAGTGTGTTGCCAAAAAAGTATTCGTCTTTTTTTGAGGACCGATGTTTCAAACATTTTACACTACCCCATTCCATTGGCTTTACTTATTCACCCTTATCGAGCGGGGTCGTTTAAGGCAGGTTTCCATAAATGGTGATGTCAGTAATGCCAAATAGACCGGCATTACATCGCCATATAATAATTATTATGCAAGAAACTCATGTTCCCTCTTAATTGACTGTTGCTCCTCGTTAGGTTCTACAAGTAATATAAAATCCTTCTTGATTTTCCATCAACCGTAAAATCTCTAAATAAATGTTTTCATATTTTCGATAGATCGAATCAAAGATGAATGGAAAAAAGTATCAATCTGGTGTTTTTTCATCCAGCCTTCGGCATCGATTAATGAAGTATGAATAAACTGTATACAACACGCCATATTTATCATTTGTTTGTCCCCATCTTGGTTTTTCATAAGGTGGAATAGCCAGCCTGACATTTAATCCAGCTATGCAAATTTTAGGTTATTATAATTATTCATTTATTTAGAAAATTATTATTTGAATGTTGTTGAACACCAAATATTAGCATAGTGGGACAATTGTCAGGCTGGCTACGTTACTGCCCAGTTTCACCATATATGCAATTTTACTAACCAAGCTGCCTAAATCAAGTTAGGCTTCTCCCTCCTGATATAAATTTGGTAGTTATTGAAAAAAAAGGTTATAGGCTGTTTAGATCACTTGATTGTTACGTTGTCAGGAAAAAATATTATTCAACTTTTCTTGGCTATGTTTGGGTTTTTTTGTCCTCATTCATTTTGGCCTTATTTATTGGCTCACTTTAGCGAACATCTTGGCTTGTTGGAGTCAGTTGATGAGAAAGACGATTCTGTGGTAAAAGATCCAATTTCAGAATCATTTTTTAAGGTACGTGGAGTAATGTCAGAAGGATGTTGTCTCTCTTAAGACAGCTTCTGCTATGAAAGGCCAAAACTAAAGTGGGGCTAAGATTTGTTTTCATTTTCTCAATCAAGGACGTTTGGTCTGCTATTGCTGATGCTAATACCAGAATATATGAACAGGCGAGTATCCAAAGTTATTTCATGTTTAACCAATCCTGTATTACCCGTCTTTATACTTGAGACACAATACTAACAACGAAGTTGGAAAGATTATTATATGGCAAGCATTTATTACTCGATTATTCCTCTAAAGCATCGCGCAACTCAAGATAGTTTGTCTATAGATGTGCAATTATGTCTCGAACAATAATCCCTTTTAATATCAATCCACTTAGTTTATATACATCAGATTACGTCATAATGGTTACTATTTACTAGATCACACTATACAATAGACGTATACTATATGCGTCATGTACTGCATTTTATACTTCCCAGTAATTATCCTTTTGGTCGTATTCTTTCCTTTTTTATGCACTTTTCATTGAAAAACCTCAAAATAATGGACTTGCATGGGGGATGTTCGTTGTAACAAGGTGCATTTTTGTGTTTCGTGAATTTCATAGTTATATAATGCATGTGTTTCAATTGAAGGTGTTTCACGCTCTCCCATCTGACGCTGTTGAACATTTTAGCGAGTTACCTCAATACAAGGTGAATTTCACAATAATGTATATTATTATGTATATGTATATTACTCTACTAATGTTGCTGGCCACAGATGCAGACGAATTCTAACATGCAGAGTTTCCCCATGCAAAGTATGACCTGGCTTAATTACGAAGTTACGAGGGAAATTCATTCGAATTCATTCCTACTTTCTGATACCATGAAAATTTATCATAATTACTCCGGCGTGAGCGACGGAGTTGAAAATTCACCTAGGTTCTGGGTTTTTTGGGGGTTTATTTTTCGCCGTCGCAAGTGTGTTTTGGCGCGAAATGTACTAGTATTTGAAAAGTGTATGTGACCGTATTTATCTACGTCACAGTTTTGTCTCCCAGAGTTGTGGTGCACAGCTCGAAATCTCTGATTAATTTACGGTACGGCATTTCCTCCAAGAGGAACAAATAAACCGTTCTTTTCATGCTGTTCGATTAAGTTTAGATTTAATTGGCGTAAGAATATTTTTAATACATGTAGATTCTGGCCCTATTTTACTAATATCGCGTCTGTTTCGCCGTTTAAAGGCGATTCTCTATTACGTCCGCTCCGCCCGCGCGGGCAAAGCGCGCTTTGTTTTTCAGACCCGTCATGGTTCCATGTGCTGATTTTCAAAAGACGCTTCGCCCGCGCGGGTAAAGCGGACGGTAATGGAGAATCGCCTTAACAAGATGTGGTCGTGTATGGGCGCGTTGACACGTCTTAGTTTGCACAGGATTGAATATTTAATATAAGCGCGAATTCCAAAGTGTAAGACAAAGCGAATGTATCATGCGGTTTATTTACATTTTTAAACAAATGAACATCTATACTTTTTAAAGTACGATGTGCTTCCGAATGTCGCGATCGAACAACATTTAGATTCGCAAGGCATTAAAATTAAATGAGTATGAACTGTATTGTTTATGTTCACGTGCGTGGCACGCCGGAGTTAACGCAAGATCAGGCGTCTGGTTATACAGGGTGTATCAAAAAAAAGGAGACCTTTAGAAATCAAGCTATTGTTAAAATTTGAATGCTTTTTCAATTGCATTTGCACATATGCTAAACCGTAGTGCGTGAAATATTGATGGCATGCATGCATACATTAGAAAAAGGAGACCTTTAGAAAATGAATTGACGTTTGTACACAAGATTGTCTGCTCCTAGGAATTTGAAAATAACTTTAATGGCATAAGGGAAAATAACGACCCAAAAATATTCAAATGACTAAGCACAAAGACTAAGCACAAAAGCGATAACTCAGTATGCGTGGTAAATTGCTTTAGCTGTTCCTTCAAAACATAAACAAATCATTTGTTCATTAATTTTTAACACTGCGTGCGAGCATTAGGGCTGTTCACATGAGTTAGAATTAACTTTGAATCCGGAATGGCTCAGCATCCCATTTTACAAACTCTGCCTATTAAAATGTTTAAATGAGTCAGGAATGAATTACAACTTGATCTGACACAGATTCACTTGACATTTCGATCCGGATTGAAAATTACTGATAAATTGAACATCAAAAACTGAATGTCATGGACCATGACCTCCAACGTGGCCTCCATTTCTCTCAACACAAACTACCGTACGCTTGTGCTTATCGCTAACTGCTTTTCTGATGACGGCAGGCTGGGTATAAGTTAAGACTACAAAAACTCTTTGCTCCGAAGTCAGTTGAACCATTTTTGTTCTGGTAGTGTGCTTAGCCATTTGAATATTTTTGGGTCGTTATTTTTCCTTATGCCATTAAAGTTATTTTCAAATTACCAGGAGCAGACAATCTTGTGTACAAACGTCAATTCATTTTCTAATGTATGCATGAATGCCATCAATATTTAATGCACTACGGTTCAGCATAAATATGTGCAAATGCAGTTGAAAAGGCATTCAAATTTTAACAATAGCTTGATTTCTAAAGGTCTCCTTTTTTTTGATACACCCTGTACAGGGTGTATCAAAAAAAAGGAGACCTTTAGAAATCAAGCTATTGTTACAATTTGAATGCTTTTTCAATTGCATTTGCACATATGCTAAACCGTAGTGCGTGAAATATTGATGGCATGCATGCATACATTAGAAAAAGGAGACCTTTAGAAAATGAATTGACGTTTGTACACAAGATTGTCTGCTCCTGGGAATTTGAAAATAACTTTAATAGCATAAGGAAAAGTAGCGACCCAAAAATATTCAAATGACTAAGCACAAACGACTAAGCACAAAAGCGATAACAGTATGCGTGGTAAATTGCTTTAGCTGTTCCTTCAAAACATGAACAAATCATTTGTTCATTAATTTTTAACACTGCGTGCGAGCATTAGGGCTGTTCACATGAGTTAGAATTGACTTTGAATCCGGAATGGCTCAGCATCCCATTTTACAAACTCTGCCTATTAAAATGTTTACATTCACTTGACATTTCGATTCGGATTGAAAATTACTGATAAATTGAACATCAAAAGAACTGAATGTCATGGACCATGACCTCCAACGTGGCCTCCATTTCTCTCAACACAAACTACCGTACGCTTGTGCATATCGCGAACTGCTTTTCTGATGACGGCAGGCTGGGTTAAGTTAAGTTAAGTTAAGACTACAAAAACTCTTTGCTCCGAAGTCAGTTGAACTATTTTTGTTCTGGTAGTGTGCTTAGTCATTTGAATATTTTTGGGTCGTTATTTTTCCTTATGCTATTAAAGTTATTTTCAAATTCCCAGGAGCAGACAATCTTGTGTACAAACGTCAATTCATTTTCTAATGTATGCATGCATGCCATGAATATTTCACGCACTACGGTTCAGCATATGTGCAAATACAATTGAAAAGGCATTCAAATTTTAACAATAGCTTGATTTCTAAAGGTCTCCTTTTTTTTGATACACCCTGTATAGATGGGTTTTTACCTGCAAGTTTCAAGATGCTGCGTACATGCATACAGTATAGGGTTGATAATCATTACTTTTTTACTGCTTTTTTCTCAAGAATCTACAAGGCCTCGCAGTCAAGGATCCTCAACAAGCGCGAAAGGAACTGGAGAAAATCCAAGGGCATCTTGTCAATATGCCGCTAAAATTCTTACAAAACTCTGATTTGAGGCCACCAAGTGGGTCAAAAGAAGCTTTAGTTCCAGTCAAAATTTTTACGTAGTAATTGAAATATTCTCACAACATACAAACTTGCAGCAAAGTCAATTCAGCTATGTTTCATGGTAAAAAAATACGAAGCCTAGATCGCTAAACCGTTAGTGTTCCCGAGAGTGTTCCAGGTAATGGGGGGTGCTCCTGAAAAAATAAACACACATACTATGATATTGATGAGAATTTCAGCGAAACATATCGTACAAATCACATCATTGCATACATGGGAATAGTGAATTGTTTTTTAAATTGCGAAGTAGCTATATTCGTCACACTATATATAGCATAAGTCGTCAATAACTGTCCTCAGCGTGTATGCTTCATATTTCTATCACGCACGAATTTCAACTATAGTAAATGTCATGCATGTCCGACAGTCCTTCTTCTAACTATATTTTATATACCTTGTTTATCCACGTCACAATTGATGCATGGTTCAGCTTCACCGTAGATAATTGTTCATACAGGAGATTCTTACTATGCGGCTACATCTGTTTTGGGTGTATGCATTCCATTTTATGTGAATGATATTTCGTGTGTATTTTTTATATCGTGCGTTATCGTATTTTGTTTGTATATATATCTATATTTTTATATATATATATATATATATATTCGTATATTTATATTTCAGATAGTATACTTATATCCATGCAGGGGGCGTAGGAAGCATCCAGAGATGATGGAGGGGGGGAAGGGCACCAGCCTAAAGATTTGGGCTGTAAAGTATATTTATGCTCCACAAAAAAAATTGGTTCAAGTGGGTATACGTAGGAAAAGGACACCTTCGGTCTAATCTAAGCGGGTATGGTGTTAAATACAACTAATACACATGACAGCACAATAATTTTGTAAGAAAGGAAAATGAATAGCAATTTAGTTTAATTTAATATAGTAATGATCAGCAAAACCCAGTTGATTCAATGAGAAGGACGACAACGTTAATGTGAGCCCAAATAGTGTAAAAGAGAACGTTGTTAATCTTGCTATTTTGTTTCTATACAGCTTATACTTTTTTCCTCTCCAGAATAAAATAATTTGTTCGTAATTCTTATTGATTTAAGTAAACCTTTCGTTATCCATGGTTTAAGCAGATGTTTATAGATTTGCGCTTTGCACGTGTTACAATTGGGGCATATTCATTTACTATTTTATGATGACATATTTTCTGTTCATGTGGTAAAGTAATTGATAATCTCAATTATCGACAGAACATTATTGCAGAGTGAGAGCTACATATTTGGATCGTAATAAATCTTCGTAAATTTGAGTTTAAAAAGGATAGGCTGGTTTTGTATTATTGAACTCGCTTATATTAGGACTAGACTGACTAGTCTTCCATGTAGGGCCCAAGGTGCTGCTGATATTATCTCGGGTACCAAGGACAACCTTAGCGCCGAAATATCTATATGGGAACTTTTATCAGAGAAGGAGACTTTCAAAACAGTCCTGTTACCCCTGTTACTCCTGTATGTATCAGTTGACCTACGATAAGGTAGTTCCTTGTGGGTAAATTTTAAAAATGTCCGAGAAATGAACATCATAATGATTGATGAATTCTTCAAATGTAAATCGATTTGTGGGTGGAAGGATTTCAGCTTATCAAGTAGACAAGGATGATAGGGATATCGCCGAGTTTATCTAAATCTTTAGTTCGATTCGCCTAAATTATTTTGAATTCTTAGAGTTTGCGAATTTGAGAATTGATGAATAAGAGGATTCTCTTGACCGGTAGCCTGAATACAGTTGACCATTCCGGATTTCCGGCACAACCATAGGCGGCCGAGAACTGATCTCGCTGACCTCGCGCGACGCTCATGTTGGTGCCAGCTGATTGGCTGTCGTTTTTTCAGTTGGAAAAAGAGCCAATCAGCTTTCTATTTTCGATTTAAAAATATGACGAAGGTATAGGCTGGGTGTCCCCAGCATAGGTTTTGAAATATATTTGCCAGAAACCCCCAAAACATTCACGTTTTATACATGCATAGGAATACATTTGAATGCTAAAAATATAGTATAAATGTAGTAAAATTATTCAAGTTTAATGTGTTGTACTTTTTTTTTTCTTATTCGCCATATTCTTATGAAATATTTGCGGTTTTGTGAAAGTATTTGAGTCAACCGTCATGCGTTTTTAGCTTATTTAGCGTGAGAGTTGCCTACCTTGTCATAATATAAGACTATTCAGACAACATGAGCGTCGCGCGAGGTCAGCGAGATCAGTTCTGGGCCGCCTTTGCACAAACCCAAAAAACATTCACGTTTTATACATGCATAGGAATACATTTGAATGCTAAAAATATAGTATAAATGTAGTAAAATTATTCAAGTTTAGTGTGCTGTACTTTTTTTTTATTCGCTATATTTTTATGAAATATTTGCGGTTTTGTGAAGGTGTTCGAGTTAACCGGCGTGCGTTTTTAGCTTATTTGGCCAATTATATATTATACATTACATTGACAAATTGCCGAAAAATTTTTCGCGCAAAAAAATATCGCGCAATTTTGGGCCGCCTATGATTTGGCGTGAGAGTTGCCTACCTTGTCATAATATAAGACTGTTCAGACAACATGAGCGTCGCGCGAGGTCAGCGAGATCAGTTCTGGGCCGCCTATGGCAATAGCACAACTAAAAATCAAGCGAAATATTTCATAATTTTCATTTGATCGAAAGATTCAGCCTAGTCAAAACTGTCGACTGTCTCAAATGTTACTCTTTGATTAAAATAAATAAAATTTCACGTTTTAATTTGGTGATGGCTCAGTGGTCTAGTGGTATGATTCTCGCTTTGGGTGCGAGAGGCCGCGGGTTCGATTCCCGCCTGAGCCCCCTTTTTACCTTGGATTTTTTTAGAATAATAATTTTTCTACTTATCTGTATACCTCACATAGTTAATATTCACAACTCTTACTGTAAAAGCTTTTATAAAATGAACCAGATGATCGTGATATTAATCGTGATCATTTCAGAGTTTCTTTCGTAATCGAAAAATGTCTCATTTGCTCGTTGAAGCTTGGGCACGAGTCTAATTTTTAGAACCAATTTTCGATTTAGATTTTCTTCGTCGTATATGAATTGAGGACACACTTTTTCAAATTCTGGATAAACACAGACAATAATTTTTCTGAACAATCCATGGAGAAAAAAAACCGAGTTAGTGGAATAAAAACTGGGGGCTCAGGCGGGAATCGAACCCGCGACCTCGCGCACCCGAAGCGCGAATCATACCACTAGACCACTGAGCCTACAATCGCATACATGGTTCAATTTGCGTTATATAACATTTTTAAAATTTTAACGCCTGAGAAGAACATTGGACAACATTGGACTGAATAGTATAAACAGGTTTAAATAGGTGTAATGTGTTATGCATTTAAGAAATAGAAAACATTTTCCGTCTATACAGTCACAGAAGCACAGAAAAATGTTTTCTAAAAAGATTTTGTACAAATATTATAATTCAATTCAATTAAAAATTCTCATTACATCGCAAACTATGAGACTATGGAAAACCCTTGCTGTCGATGGAAAGACTTGCTGTCGCAAGCACTGAAAGAGAGATACGAGGGAGGTTTGGCTTTATTAAAGTATAAGAAAGAGTTTGATGCAAGATGTCGACAGGACGAGAGACACTGCATTGATAATGCATTCGTATTTGTCCGAGTTAAGGCTGTCGTATGAAAGGGCATATAGCCCACCCAAAGTATAGCTATTATCAGCTGAAGCTAATGCCACCGAGAAAGAGGTGCATGCGGTATGCCCGACAAGAAGGGGCTTTAGTTTTTTACAATGAGAGAAGAGATGAGAAGGGACATCTTGTGCCAGTTTGTTAATGGTTTGGGAAAAGAGCTAAGAGAAATCTTAATTAGTCAAGATAATTTGCTAAAAAAAACAGTGCAAACTGTTCTTACGCAAATATCTATCTTAGAGGAAGAACGAGGAGCTACTAAAAGAGTTTCAGCTGCACAAGGGACTGGAAAATCAAGTAGCCCAGTGGAAAATACTGTAACCTCCAGTGAAGATGATGGGCAGTCCAGTCTGGAACACAAATTAGATGAAATCCTGAAGAATCAACGCACTTTGCAAGCTGCAGCAGTTGAAAGGGGAGGTTGGAGATTTCCTGGGAAGCAGAGACCGGGTCCTCAACCCTCTGATATATGTAGGGCAATGGTCGGGACACTGGGCAAGTAGCTGTCCTTCTTTAAACGAATGAAGGGCCGGCTGGACGCTGATCCCCGGTTTAGCCCTGAAGAGTCAAGAAGGGTTCAAGTACCCATATAGAAGCCCTTTATCAGAAGCCAAGTGCAGAGAGGGAATTGTAAATGGGTGCAGAACAAGTTTCCTGTTAGACACTGGAGCAGAAGTTAGTTTAATGAGTGCAACTGTCCCTGGGCTAGAAACAAAGGAATCAGGTGTGGCACCAGTTTCAATAACCAACCAACCTATCATAATTCGAGGTGAAACTGATGTGAACTTGAGTCTAGGCCACTTGGCAACAAATTGGAAATTCTTAGTTCTGGACAATTTAAATGAATCTGTTTTGGGAGCTGATTTTATTGAGAGTCATTATAAATCATCGTGGGGAATTATTGATAACGGCATATTTGGAAGATCTAATTTGTTTTCACACACATTCGAGGAACATTTAAGAGGAATAAACAGACTGCTCCAGATGGTCAGAAAGGCAGGGTTCAAATAATCAGGCAAAAAGTGACCACTTTCAGAGAATGTGGAAATTATTCGCTGTCGGAAGGCACCTGAAAATGAAGCAGAGCTTCGTCAATTTTTGGGAGTCTGCACCTTTTGGAGACGATTCGTAAAGGACTTCGCGAAAGTTGCGGTGCCATTACACAACCTGTTGAACAAGCCGCAATTTGTGTGGGCACTAGAGTGTCAAGGTGCATTTGAAGAATTGAAAGAATGTCTATGCTCATCCGTAACGTTAACACTACCAGAGCGATTTGCTCGCTTTTCGGTTACCTGTGACGCATATGATTACGCAGTTGGCTATTACTTGGAACACAATTAATAGAATATACATGGTTTGGAGACTACATAAAAGTACAATAGAACTCATTAACTATGTCGGGGAACATTTATGCAAAAAATTGTTCCTTATTCGTCACGTGTCTGTTGTATTTTGAGCAAATAAACCAATAGTAAGGTCTGAATTAACATGTTGTTCAAGTCACGGTCGAGGAGCTAAGTCAAGCCATTGCTATTGGTTAGTTTGGCAAAAATACAATAGACATGTGACGGATAAGGAACCATTTTTTGCATAAACCTGGACAATAACATAGATAATGAGTTGTATTGTACTTCCATCTAGTCTCCAAACCATGTATATTCTAATAACTGTGCTTGGAACAAGACGATAAATCTGGACAAAGAAGACCAGTTTCATTTGGAGGCAAAAGCTAACTAAAGCCGAAACCAATTATTCAACAACAGAGAATTAAGGAATGATTAGCAGTGATCGAAGCCCTCAAAGCCTATCGGCCGTACTTACTAGCGCGATTTGTATACTACTGCTCGTCATTCACTTAAATGGTTACTCAAGCGGACTAAGGAGCATAGTGGTCGGCTGTGGGTAGATAAAATGCGTGAATTTCAATATGTGGTGAAGCACATTCCTGGAAATAAAAACACAGTCGCCGATGCCTTGAGTAGGGTCAGAATTATTGGAACAAAGAAAGAAGAGAAATGGTACCTCGAGTGTGTACGTCAGCAACAAGACGAATGTCATGTACTAGATTAAAGCATGTTTGAAATGGAAGAGAAAGAAAGAGATCGTCACTGAAAACAACGAACGTCAAAGCCTCGAAAAGGAACTACCTCGATGTTTGATAGGAAATGATGGGGTTCTTCGACGTAAGAATTTGGATGGAAATGCCCAGATCATTATTTTATATATTTCTTGTGCAGTTTAAATCTTGAAAATTCGACAAAAAATATAACTTTTCAATAGCTTAACTCTTAAGACCTTAAAAACTATTTTGGCTTCAAAGTTCAAGCTAATATAGGGGTGTTTCTCAGGAGTTAGCGTTCAAGTTTACCAACAATTCAATCGGCCATATTACTACGCATGCGCTGTTAAGACAATCCGGCGTAAGCAAATAGCTTTCATTTAGCCGCACACGGGAAGATTTCGGCACGCGAGGCAGAAATTATCAAACATGCTAGATATTTGCCGTAAGTAGCACGAATGACCAAAGTCTCCAAATTACTTCATGGTTAGCTCGTTTGAACGATTTTTATTATGAACTCGTTGTGAAGGATCGCAAACTCACTTGTTTGCTACGCTCACTCCTTCGTTTTGCGATCCTTCACAACTCGTGCATAAAAATCGTACGCACTCGCCAACCATGAAGTAATCTCTGTTAATAGCACTGAGTGTTAAAGTAGGCGCACACCAGAACTATGCTTACCAAAAAGTCCTTGGTAGCCATTGGCGTTAGCCAGTTGCTCTCGTGCAGGGCACTTACATAGTATACTTTATTTAGCATATTCGGCAATTTGGTCTCACTCTGATTGACTGCAAAACCCTTGACCTTTTCATTTTTTTCACGGAAAGTCTACAAGGTCAAAGTGGTGCTTATGCCCCACGATTTAATGACCGTACACGGGTCTATTTAGCAGAAAGACACGAGTCACAGCCTTGGTATCATTGTTATGTTCGCGATTTTGGCTTTGTATCTATGCTTTTGATTACAAAACAGAATAAAAAGACGGATAGAAACTTGAAAGAGTTAGAAGACAGAGTATTTGCTTGCAAACCCTTGGATGTTTCCAGGGGCGGCGGAACAGGGGGGAGCTAGGGGGCTAAAAGCCCCCTAAAAATCTCATGAAGAATGCCAGAATGGGAGATTAAATATACAAATTACGTTACCACGAAGTCGTCAAATTAATGCTCGCTGGCGTATCAAATGCTAAAAAGATATCCTATATTGTGTTACGGATCAAGTGAATGTAAATTGATCTTTCATAGTTGTCTTTAACAGCAGAATATTCGTGGTTGTATATTGTTATTATTTTCGGACCGCCATTTTGTTTAGAAATTATTTTCTCTGAGAGATGATTCTTTAAATGTAGAAGATATCACTACACGCGCTGTGCCGTTTCAGTTTGTGTTTGCCCATGAAAAACTACGATGAAAGCGGCAAGTAAGACTCTGAAATGGCCATTTCCGAAGATCTAGAGCATTGAAATTCCAAAAGAATTAGCCCCCCCCAAAATATATTATGTTCTGCCGCCCCTGGATGTTTCTCCCAATAGTGTATAGTTGGTTAATTAAGGGACATATTATGATATTGAGACTAAACCTGATTTCTTACCTGGAATAGCAATCAATGGCTGGGCTTCGATTTTCTCTGAAGACCCGAGTAATATTTGGTTGGGTAAACATGGCCTGCAAATTGAATAAAACAAGACAAAAGAGAGCGTTGTTGAAAGGATACAACATATATTTTCAAAATAACCCTATGCACAATGTTATAAAATTATCATCACGTCATCCAAAATGTTTCTCAACCATATTTTCGACAGATTCCCGTTGTCTTTTCACTCTGTTCCCTATGTGTTTGGACTCTGAGACTCATTCACGTCTAGCAGTCAATAAGAAGAAAATCGTGCCGGAACTCGCAACAAAATTTGCAATTGTTAACGGGCCAGAATTTTGATTCTTTGTTTATACTTTAATAACTTGTTTACTTGTTTTGTGCACTTATTTACTTATTTTCTAAATGTGTATACTGAAAGACTACTTCTGAAACTTTGTTTACTTTCTACTGTGTCTTTCAGTTTGTTTACTTCTTTCCTTCATTGTTATAATTATTGCTGACACAAACTCCAACTGGATTTTCAATGGTCGCTCTTCTCATGTCACAATGTGTATCCTGGGCGCATTTTCCATGAATGTAAAATTTTCCACCGCACAGCTCCCCTTCATCGCGGGCGCATATGTTACAGCAGTTGCACGCATCACGCAAGATGCCTCTTGAACACTGTTTTGCACGACCAGGGCATTGAATATCTTTGCACTCAGGGCAGCCTTTTCCAATAATCATTCGCCGAATCATTATGTCTTCGGCTCTTTCCCGTAAAGGTTTTAAGTTACTTAACTGCGCATGTCCCGTATATAGGATAGTAAACACAATTATCAAGCGGATTATCATTTTCTGCAAAAGATGTGAAAATTATCATTTTAATCAAAGCAGGGTTATTCATAGTTATAGTACAAGAAACTGTTTCCTAATCTGAATCAACTACGATAGCTTGGTAGAAATTTAGTTTGTAATAAGTTTCATTACCTTTGGAAAGAATGGAGCTTGGGAGTTGGGAGATAATATTTCACATTATGCCTAGTACAAGATTGCCGAAGTATATTTTAAATTTTGGATTGTCTATGGTTATTAGCCTAAGTATGCTTTATTGCTTCCAGGTTTAATCTCTTCTAACCTAAAATATCAAACTAAGCTTATTTAAATTGTCATAAAGATATATATTCTTAAATTTTTACAAATCACATTACATAACTGATAAAATAACAAACTCATAATAAAATATATAGACGTAGTATCTCTTTGATTCTTTAAGTCGAAACTCCAAATTTTGTGTGATATTAGCTTTGAGGTGATTTTTAATTAAATCAGTATTATTATCACTTTAATAGCTAAGAGCCGGGTCATTCTCACAAAAAATGCTTAATTGAAATTACAGATCATCAGCCGAATCCCGAAGATAACCTATATACATAAAATCTAAATTCTTTACCTTTACAGTTAAATTGCCCAGCTTTACCGTCAGATATATCCCATGAATTTTACAAATTTGCATCAAAAGTTGAACAAAGAACTAACAACCCGCTATATTGAGACTAAACTCACTGTTATATATGGCATATGCATTGTTAATAGCACAATGCAACCAGCAGTTCACCCTTAGCGATGAATTTTAGCAACCAGGGGGGGATCACGGGTTGTGGATTTTTAGAGCTGAACGCTCAGACAGGGGCTGAGCTAACTGCTTTAATCATAGACAACCAGCCAATTAATGCATGTGCACGAAGGCTGGCATTCCGTGTCAATTTCATTTTAATTCGAAAAACATTTTGTTTAAACCCTTACCTTACATATGAGCTAGCTAGAGCATTAAAATACAATTGCACAACCTAACATACGAAGTATTATCTATTAAGTTCTCAAAAATTAGGGGGACTGGGCGGCCCCTCGGTAAAATTTCTTAACTAAAGGTGCTACACATTAATGCATGGTAACCATCATGAAAACGGGGAGGTATAAACAATGTCAACATGTTTATAATGTTAACAAGAAAGACTTGCTTCAAAGATAACTTTCTTGTGTTTAGTTAATGTTCTTTTTATTTTCTAAAGTATGCAGCAGATAAAAAGTTTGACACTGGTAACTTGGAATTTAATGGAAATTGAGCCTCGGCAATAATGTCAATATCTTGAATTGGAATTAAAATGTGAAAATGGAAAGTCTAAGAGAAAAATCCTAACGGCTGCACAATGTACGGTGCCTTACAGGCAGAGGTGAGCAGAGTGGACTATATAGGACAACGTCAGTGTGTATGTAGTGAAAAATTGATATGACATCTCTCCATGACGATGAGATAATTAACAATATTTCATCCGGCCATGCACCTTGACAAACTATCCTATAGTGAAATCTTTCGCCAAGTGTTCTTATTTTATTTCAATGTACTTTCAGGGGAAAGCGAATTTACCCTTTTGCCGTTGGCAGAGCTGAGTGCTCTAAAACGAGAGTAAAATCCAATTAGACGTTAGTGAAATATTGCAAGTGCATGGAGATTGCTGAGAGTGGAAACTTAATGTTCAGTTTGACCTTTTGTACCGTGATTCATATTCCACAAGGCTTTATCGAAATTATCCGGTTTCCGCATTCCGTATACTACCAGTTTTTCCAAATCGTCCGATAAAACGGGACCCTAATGATACTGTGCACTTTATTATTTATTTTTCAATATAGGAGTGCCAGCCTTTTAACAATAACTTTATATGGTCTAGTTTACTTCCTAGCCCAGTGCTTGTTTCTGATTGGGCAGCTTTACGGGTTCTTATTCGCTTCATTGATTTCTAGACAGGTTGCAAAAAGCCGCATAGGCTCGGAATATCGACCGTCCAATGAGAGACGTGAATTATTAACTAGGATTGCTCAATGAAGCGTGGAATGTTTACTGTGATGTCAGATTCTGACAATGTTACAGGATCAGAATCGAGCAAGATCATCGAATTTTACCTGTCCTGCTGGATTGTGAAATTTTTACACTAAAATCTTTGTTGGATAAAGGGATTCTCTCGATTTGGGCCGAGGTAAGTGTAAAGAAACCGAAAGAGTGACGCAAAACGTGTCGGGAAGAAAAACGAAGGACAATCGTAATTTAAAATCACAAGTATTGTCTTTTTTCAAGCTTGATTAGTTTTCTGTAACACATGAATGACTCTAAAATAAGGCCGCTTGAAATGGCTCTCTATGGCTCTAAAGTTATATTTAAAGGCTTACATTACTCAAAATAAATTTATTCCTTTAAAACTTCCATGCGAATTGGAAAATTTCTGTTCATGATTTGAAAACGTGCAAAAACAAATTCATAATTATCATTATACATCTGTCGAAAATCAACCATCACCCTGCTTTCTTAGGGGGATAAAAATAATTTAGTTTGACGCTTTTTAGTCTTTTAAATTGTAGTTATATAAAGTAGTATATGAGGAATGATAGTTTTCTTAAACGACGAATGTTTTATAATTCTTATTTTTGAGACTATTGTATGATACATTGGATTGCTCTCCCTTTTCTATTAAATAAAGTAGCAATCGAATTTCTAGCTAGCAAACTTTAGTAGCGTCAGAAATAAGGTTCCTGAATCCTGGCGAACGCTACAGCCCATACTCTTAAAGCATCAGGGCATATTGTGCTTTTTACTTATTTAATTTCTAATTGGATCAAAATCTTACATTTATCCCTTCTGAACTTGTTTTTATATTGTATAAAGAACGTATATTCGCATGTTTGATTTCTGGCATTTGAAATGAATAAAAATTAACTACAGTAGCCTAGCCAGAGCAAATTTGTATTACATTCTTTAATAATAGTATATTTTACTCTGTCAGACGAAATTTTACGCTAGACGATACAAAACAATGGATCTACTATATTCATAAATCTTGAAGTTTATTACATATACCTACTATAAGTTCCTAACAAACTAAACTTGCTGTAATAAAGGTTTTTACTTCTAGTTCTAGTTTTATTAGTTTTATTTTTTTACCATTCACAATCAGGCATGTAAACACAATCATGACAAATAAACTATATATATATATATATGAACTTTGTCTTTGACATTGAAATGTGATTTACAAATCATATATATAAACATGAATTATACTAACTATGGTGACTGGAGATTATTTCACATTCTGGAATCGTAAATGCCATAAAGGAATTGGGTTTAGATCTTACATGAACGATAATTATGCATGCGAAGTGAAATATATGCATCTGAGGCTGAGACAACCGATAAAAGCTATAGTTATAAGTTTGAACCAATCTGGTTTAACGAAAGACTAATCTGTTTGAAAGACTAACTGCCGACAATTTTAACATAAAGATTGCGCCATGTCTAGTTATGGCTATATGATATCCAAATTTATTTAAATTTCTTCTAATCTTATATTCGTTAAATAACATTTGGTTCGTATTGCTATTAAAATGAACAGGTGGCCCCAGCAAAATCACAAACTACAAACAGGTCGATTTAATTAAGTAAGCCGAGCTAAAAGTCAGAGATCATCATATGCATGTAGTAATGTTAAATAAAAATTTCCCAAAATCTGAAAAACTCTCAACAGCTAGTTTTAGATTTTAGTGTTTGCACTGAAACTTGTTAACCTGTTTCGGGTTTTTTTTCTATTACAGAGAGTCACGATGACTTTCGTACAAAACTTTGTACTTTTGCTCCTTTTTGTTGGTTCATTAGAAGGTAAGGTTTATAATGGTTTTCAAATTATTTATCGATTGTCAATGACAATTTTAATATTGATTCGCTGGATAGTTTCGTTGTTAAATAAACAGCAAATGTTTGACGTACATTTTACTGGACATAAATTGTTTAAAATTGCAAATTCAATTGTTTAAATAACAGATAAAGAGAAAAAGGCTATTTTCATCCCTGGGAATAAAATTGATGCTGATGATGCATGGTGCAATATAGCTACGCTTATTATAGTGTAGTCTTTTGCTACAGAGCAATTTCGGCAAGTGTACATTGTGACACAATGTAGCTACCATCATGACACAATGATTGTGTGCTCGGTATTTTGCGATAGTATGTCGCTGTTTTTTGGTGATGATAAAGTCAACATTTTTTGCAGCTGGATCATGTAGGAATAACAATCATTTGAAATCAAAATACAGACGAGCTGAAGTGCCATCAGCTGTTTCGTCACCACCAGCCACGACCACTATGAATGCCGATACATCCGCTCCGACGCGTAAGTTTTCACAGATATAGTTTTCTTAAGTAATTGCATGCTAAGGTAAAGCCTTAGGCAAACACAGGACACTAGTTTTATCAGGTTTAAAGTCATCTTAATTGTTACTTTTTGCAATAAATATAGCCTGGAAAAAAACTGGGCAGTACCTTTTCACCCCCCCCCTCCCATTAGCGTCGCCAATTGTGAATCCCACCACTCCGTAACCAACAAATCCCATTCAGTTTTCAAATTTTGCTATCTACATATTGGTTACTTTTTTGAGGGTCCCTTACGTAATAGCAAAGGATTCTTTATCTGTATACTACATTGCAAAGTAAAAACTAAACTTGACCTGATGGTACTGTGCATATATGTTTCAGGTAAACTAGTATGTTACTTGGACTTCGAGAGTCAGCCTGAAACAGGCACCTCAATAAAAGACAAGTCGCAGAGTGGAAATGATGGTTACCGTGAGAAAGGTCTCCTACTGGTCAATTTCAAAGGCTGCGGTAACGCTGCGTACCTCTATTCTGGAGATATTTTATTCCATGGCGATACCTTCCAAGGAAAGCCATATGAAGGTAATACTAAATACTCAATTGTCTAGGAAAACAGTTGTATACTACGTACAGTGTTCGTTACGAAGGATTTCTCTCTTTTGAACTTGCTGATTGATTTGTACTTGCCAGCGTCAAAGCCCGAAATCTAGCTCGCCTCAAATGATGACTTCAAAATCGCGTACCCGTCCCGAAGGGAAATCAACCTATTTAGTCCGCTTAGGTTTATATTAATATCCACGCTTAAGTGTCAAGGTTACTAAATTGCAACTTCTTTTTGAATTAAGGTATAACAATTGCTGCTTGGGTGAGGATCCTAGAGCTCCCCGGCAGTCACTCTATCTTCGATACAATTGGTAGCAGCCATGAGTGTGGCCAATATCACTTCGAAATCAACGATGGTAATGTCCGTTGGTTCCATCGAAATGAAACTCAACAAACTGTGTTCAGTGTTGAGGCAACTGGAGCCCCTGTCAAACAAGGTAATTCATTTTGGAATTCACCATAATTATCGTAGCTACAAGTCAGGTCTACGGGCTAAACAGATAGCTACCAATTACCGATTATCGAGTTTGTGTATATGATTCATACGCATCACGTCGGCGCATCAACCTATAATAGTATAGTTGTTAAATGCATATCAACGTCACGGTCGGCTATTGACCAACAATGCACACTATGATAGATTCTTTAAAAAAATCTTAATGAAACACACGTCAGAAAACATATTTTGACTTCACCATTTTAGCCACGTGGGTTCACGTCGCAGGCACATACGATGGAACAATTGGCAAATCAAAAATCTACGTCAATGGTGATTTAAAGAATATGTCTGTCAACGAATATGGCGGATACTTATCACGTGACTGGAACATGCGCGTTGGGATTGGTGACCACAAAAATTTCCGACCAGTATTAGGTTTCGTTGACGAGTTCCGCGTATATAACTATGCAGTCACCAAAAAGGAAGTCGATGATATGGTGAAGAAATGCAACTTCCAAGGTTAGTATAAACGACGTTCGTGCGGGACAAGAACGAATTCTAAATAAATTATAATTTGGACCATAATACATGATTCAAGATTCAGAAATAATATCAACTGAGGAGGGAGGCTTATAACTAACTATTAATTTTAGCTATTTTACCGTGCCTAATTTTTATATACTAATGTAGAAATTTGCAGAACTATCTTTTTTACCAACATTTACCAGCAGACAATTTAAATGAAATATACTAGAAAAAACATTCTCCGAAAAACAACATTGACTAAATAAACTCAAGATATGAGTTTAAAAAAATAAGGCAACAAGGTTGAAATAACACCACAAAATTGCTTAAAACTCATTCGTAGCATATTTTTTCTCATATTTTTTCCACATTTTTAACCTTTCATAGCTGCATGTAGTGTCGGACGCATTATTTTCTCTTTGGCCCAATGTTAGCTGGAAATACCATTGTTTCTCCATTCACTTTATGTTACCAATCAGCAAGTCAATCTCATAAAACGTTTCTCATTTTTCAGCTGGAGGCACTACTACAGCCGTAACTCCACCTCCTGTCCCAGCACCAAAACCAGCGGTAGTAGGAGCACCTGCCCCACCTGCTCCACCCGTTTCGTTGACTCATGATGCTGTACTTATCAATGGTATGATTTAGCCTTTCCTTTTTACTTACACGTACGAAAATATTAAAACCATTTAATTCAATTTTTCACTAAATTTTCTGAAAATACATATATACATGTTATGTATAAAAATGTACGAACAGATATATGAAGAATTATGTATTGTGCGAAATATCGTTCAACGAAGAAAGTATAGAATATTGCTATCCTATGCAAATATTTCGACATGAAGGCAGCGGCGGATCCAGAGTTAGGCTGAATCAATTACGAGGCTTAATTTTAAATTCAAAGTACTTTAATAGCAAGCTATTAGTTTTCAATTTCTAAAGAATATTGTCTTTAGTAATTTTTTATCCTTACCTGGATTTGCCACTGCATAAAGGATCAGATCTGCAGTGTGATCAGATCTATTATTCTTTTTCACATAAACAGTTTCACCTGATTTTACTTTATCAGATTAGGAGGGGGAAGTCTTACTAGACTTGAAGCAGCTTTGCTAAAAAAGTACATACAAGGTCACACTGATGACGGGTTTAATGGAGGGAGGATACATGGGTTAAAAGTGAACTAAAGTTTCAGCGATTTCTTTTCCGCAGACGACAAAGAAAAAGAAACCAGCGATGTCAAATCACCTGGCCAGGAAATGGAAGAAACGATCCTGAAGCGTTCCAAAGTCCTCCGCAAACTCCGCCACCACAAGAAGAACTCGCACTAACGGGTCATGTTAATAGACAACATTAACGACAACAGCGCACTAGCGTATAAGACTGGCAACTAGTTTCATATAATTTGCATTCTTGTGCAGAAGGAGTAAAATTAACCGACTAAGAAGATAACTATAAGACAATTTATTTAACTGTTTCTATTTAAACCTGTCCCTTTTGTTGCTTGTGCAACACTGTAATATACCAAAATTTGAACATTCTCAAAGAAATTGCAGTAAATATTTTGAGCTATAGTCAATCACTCTCCCGTAATTTGGAACTGTACATTTCTGTATTAATAAAGTTCAAATGTTTTCTTTATTATGCTGCCTGGATTATCGTTACGTACAAGATTTTGAGTATGGTATAGATCTTCCTCTTAGGAATTGTTTCAGTGATTGAGACCTCTCTGGTCATAGAAGCAGCTGTAAACCTTTTCATCAAATTGTTATTTTTCTGACCGGGTATTGGTTGTTGTAATTGTCAATTTTACTTTGTTGGGATAGACAGATCAAGATGCTCTTATCTGATATTCAGTTTTCCTTTAAATTGTCATTGTATAAATTGAAACTGTAAGTTCTGTAGGCAAAATTACCCAAATTACACCAGCGCGCAGGTTGTTTTATTTTTTAATTTTTGTGCAATCCAGATTGTCTCAAGAGTCAAGATATAAACGTCAGCAACATTTTGATACATTTTTTTTCAATATTATTTATTTAAGTTGTACATTATGTTAATCTCCTAGTCACCTGTCTTCCATTGCAATTTTGGAATGGCCAAAATACTCGTAACCCGACTGACTAAAGGCCATGTTACACGCTGCAATTTTTCTTGCAACTTGCAATGAACTTCTACTTTTAAGAGATGTAAATTAGTGAAGAGTTTTCAAAATGTAAGTGTAAGTGTAAGAAACGCCATGGAATGTACCATATAGAATGTACCTTCGGGCTAAATAGATAAATAGATAAACGAACAATGCGCTCAATCACGCATCATCTCGATTAACTACGACAACACACGATGCAACTGCGCGAGGAAATTGCGAAGCTTTCCGACGAATGTTTACAAACACCTGACGAGGATCCGGAATGACGTTTTATCCTCAACTTCAACACCACGTTTCCCATTGTGATTCAATGGAAACCCGAATTATCCACGAAAATCTTCAACAACAAACTAACAAATGCCGAAATACACACGTTTGACGTAACTTAGCACTGAAAAATAAACTTGTCTTTTAGTGTGCAAAATTCATATTTAAGAAACGTTTACCCAATATTGAGTTTGAAACCCTTCCTAAAATAGATGTAATGTCAACTCGTATGATATTTTTTGTTTTGTGATCTGCACTATGAGTTTTGTATGCAAGAGAGACTATCTTCATCTCAGAACAATGTTTTGTCGTTGAAAGAAGCGATATATATTATGAAATAGCGACAGGAAATAGTGCACAAATAAAACTCACACAAATTTCACCAATAAAACCGCAAATGAATTGATATTAAATAAACTTCTTTCGCAAAAAAAAGAAGTATCGAGAGTTGAAGTAATACAGTGCGTTTATTTTCTTGGTAAAACACCGCAGTGTTTTTACTGCTGCCGCAGCAAGCGAACAACCCAACAGATTCTAATGTCTAATGGACAATTTGAGGCGCAAATAAAAATTTCCTTTTGACGCATTGTACGACGGTACCAGTGTTCATCGTTTTGTCTGACCGGTCATGAAACTTGCTGACCATTCAAAGTGCAAACCAGAAATATGAATGTAGTCCACAAAGTCTACATTCTAGGTTTGAGTAGTGGTTTCAGGCAGCATTTCTACCCGTGCGTAACTACGTTTAATTTTCAAGTATTGCGCATGTTCTTTAATTGTGTTGCATCCTCAGCCAAAAATATCGCGCAAAATATGTCGTCAATGCACGTGTGAAACGAAAACCATATGGCGGACGTTTGGGTTGGTTGTGAAACAGGAGTACTCAAAAGTTGCTGTGTTTTAATTGCTGTGTTTTATATTTTTCACTCTTTAGTACCTTCACGTTTTCCCACACTTAAATTGTTTTTCACTTCACCCCAGGTAAAAATCTAGGATCATACAAGTTATTCTCTGGCAGTGTTCAGGACATTCAATTCCATCAAACAGAACCACTTGTTGCATCTTGTGGCCTGGACAGATATCTCAGAATTCATCACATTGATACACGGCAAATTGTAGATAAGGTGAGAAATATGGGCTCCAGATCAAACAGAAGTTCAAAGTACTGTTAAAAAACGTTCAGCTTTATTAGATATGCTTGCTATATCCAGTATATTATGAGGTCAGTGATCAGCGTCTTAATAATAAATCATCATAATTCTATTTTATTTAGATATACTTAAAATCCCGATTAAAGGGTCTCTTGTTTTCAAAAACACATACACAGGTAAAACAAATGATTTTCTACTATCTCCCCGTATCCACCTAATACCCCCCTCATCCCTTTCTGTAACCCAGGCCCCTGCGCCCACACCAAATCCTCGTTTCCTAACTTTCCAAACTATTTTCAGGATTCCGCGGAGGTAAAAATAACTCAAACAAGCGAAGACATAATGTTAATACAGAAGAAGACAAAGTTGATAGTGAGGGCGAAGAAGATGTTTGGAAAGACATGGAGTTGGTTCAAGACGATCTCATAAACAAGAAAAAAAGTACGTTTAAAAAAATGACGTACATTTAACATGTTATTCCAGTGAAAAAGCCATCGAGCTGAGACCCTCAAAGTCCTTTTTATCCATAAAAGGTTTACTGAGTTCAGATTAATACCCGGTGATCTAAAAATGCAGAAAAAGACTAGGGTTGAATTTTAGATTTCACATGTCCAAATGGCCGCTAGTTTCCGATTTTTTCTTCACGGCCAGATGAGCATTTTCTCATTATCAATTTGCCAGCTTTGTTACAGAATCTGTTGTAATACCACCCCTTATGACGTCTTTCTCATTTCTGCCTTAATAAAACAAAGAAAGAAAAATAGAGATTTTTGGCCGGAAAAGAACTCAACGTTAAAAAAATAGCTAAAATAAAAAAATTCTGCGAAAATGCTGCAGTGTCCATATATGCCAATAACCTGATAGCAACTGTTCGTGGCAGTTCATTTCTGAGAAATATTGGCGGGGTTTTGGTTTTTGATATCACCGATGCTGCTACAGTCCGTCTTGACGATGATAATTTTCTTGAAAATAGTGCCTTTGATTTTGGTATTGTCGAAGCAGTTGTCCTTCGTGGAACTTTTCATTTTCACAGCAACAACGTTAGCTTCGTTCGAAACAAACTACGAGTAAATATTACTCTCGGTATATTGTATTTCGGACTTGGAGGTACGCCAGTTAACATCACTTTTAAAAACACGCATTTTCTCGGGAACTATACCTAAATATATTCCGAAGCAGTATTCTTGTTTATTCAAAGAAATCTGGATTCAATAATGTAACTTTGGATACCTGTGCATTTAGGGAGAATGTTGGCTTGACAGGAATAATAACAATCATAGGTCAAACTTCATTCACATGCAAAAATTCTATCATTGATTCAAACAGGATTTTTCCATGCAAGACGGCCGTAATGATGTTGTCTTTGATCAATTCAAAGATTCTGATTACGAATACAACATTTAAGAACAATTCCTGCCGAGCACTTTATGTCTCATTGAAAGGAACTGCCTCGCTAAGAATAGAAAATTCTTCGTTCTTCCGGAACAGGAATTTGGACGGTTTCGGAAGCGCTATACAGATCGCATTTTCCCACCATTTTTTCAGTTATAAGTCTGAAGTTAACAGTTTTGATCAGACTTTTCAGGCTGTCAATGTATTGTTCCAAGAAAATATCGCTTCGGTTTCCAGCGTTTTGGCGGTTATAGGAGGGAAAGTGAAATTAACAAATTGCACAATTTTGAATAATTTTGCCCAGTTCCAAGGCGGGCAAATTGGTAATCGTGGTCAATCGGATTGTGTGTTTAGGCAAACTATTCTGAAGATCACTACGAGTAATGGGATGGAATTTGTAGCCTCTTTATTCCTAAGGCTTTATGGCACTGGAAAGGCGGATATATATAATACAACATTCAATCGTATCACTGAGCCTGTCGACGAACCAATAATCTTGATACCCAAAGCAGAGCAAATCTCATTGGATAACTCTTCCCTGAGTATCTGTCCTTTGGCTCACGCCATTGAAAAGACTAATTATCAATACTTCAGCCTAAGCAGTCGTGATGACAGCGCACTCGCTCTCTCATGTAGGAAATGTGACTATAACTTCTACTCTTTGCAAAGAGGAATGGCGAGAGAATTGAAGGTAGACTCTAGTTTCCAATGCCTCCCATGCCCGCGAGGAGCAGTATGTGTTCCATACATCAGATCAAAGTCGAACTTCTGGGGATATAAAACAAGTTCGAATCCACCTACGTTGGCTTTCATCACTTGCCCGTTTGGCTACTGCAGGTCCCCGCCATCTGACAGCAATGAGTACAATGCATGTCAAGGTAAAAGTACTGGTTATAAGTGTGGGATGTGTTCATCTGGCTGTTCAGAGGCTCTGTGGTCAACAAACTGTACTTTAACACAAGAATGCAACGACTATTGGTTCTGGATTGTATTTCTAGTGTATGTCTTCTTAATGGCAGCTCTCCTCGTCTTCAAACCTCCAATCATAAAATATCCTTTACGAAAGATTTTTTGCTTTAAAACGTTTATAGATAACAGTCGCTTCGCAAACTGGCAAACGGCTTCGTACCGTCACGTTGATCTGGTTCCTGAGGACGACACTGAACAAAACAATCCATCGCTGTCTTCATCAGAGCAAACAAAACAAGATAAAAGACAATTTTCGGGTTTATTAGAGATCATCTTTTATTTCTATCACAACTGCTTCTCTGGTCGACTTCGTTGACCGAATTCTTTGAAACTGAATTTCTCATGCCCGTCCTTGGCTTCTTCAACTTCCAACCAGGTGTAACAAATCGTGGTTTTGTCTGCCCTATTCCAGGGCTGACACCAAAGCTTAAGACAAAGCTTCTTTTTAAAGTTGCTCCCGTCTTCGGGACGCTCGCTGCAATCTTTTTTCTCTATGCCTTCCACGTCCTCATTCGTTGCAAAAGATGTTTTCTTCGACCTGACATTTCTCCCTACCTTCAAGCCAGCGTCAAAACAGTGTTCCTTGGCTACGTGACCCTGGCTACTGTCAGTATTTCGCTAATTCGCTGTGTCCCCGTTACAGGCAAGCTAAGATAATTCTACAATGGAAACGTCGTATGCTACGAATGGTGGCAATATGCATCGTTCATTTTCAAT